GGTTTTAAACCATTGATAAAAAGTATTGTTTTGAGAATTTTTTTATAATTTTCCGTTCTATTGTTTTCCCTTGAAGCGGCTGCGGCCGCCATCACACCTATAGTCCGTACATAGATGTCTCACGTCGAGTGACTTACGTTCACCCTGTTGGTAGATTTTTGAGAAATAGGGTCTGCCTTTTATATTGCTTTGGTTGCCTGTCAGCTCGAGGGTACAATAATGAGTGTAGACTGCAGTGCTTTTTGTTTATTTTAAGACTGTTTGGAATAAAAAAGCAATCGAGGTACAATAATGCTGTAGGTTGCCCTGCTTTTTGTTTATTTTAAGACTGTTTGGAATAACAAAGCAATAAAAAATTCCAGGAGTGATTGTAACAGTGGGGGTTGTTTAGCTTTCTTTTCTCTCATCTTTTTGAAATTCTGGCGAGCTAGGATTCAAACTAAATATATTAGTGATTTTAAAACTGCCCGGTCCGTACGGAATTGTGCGATTTGATGTAGAAATCGGTCACCCATGCCAGTATGTGGATATATAGAAAATCGTCGAAGTCTTGAAGAGTGTCAGCGATTGGCAATAACAAAATGTTATTTTTTTAAAATTTTATTTATTTATTGGTAATTAGTGGGGAAGACAGGCCCTATTCGTTTTTTCAATAAATTGAGGAGTTACATTTTAAAAGTGTTAAAAATTGAAGAGTTACATTTTAAAGGTGTTAATTGTAGGTGTCAATGGTAAGAATGGATACTACGATGTGGTCATTGAGTGTGGGGATGCTACCACTAGAACCCCAATCCACCGTTTTGCTACAGTAAAAACGTCGATTCACTAAATCAGCCCAGTTCACTATTTTTGCACATATTTTTTTTGCTAGTACACTATATTTAAAATGGCGATCTGGACCACTTATTCATCGATCCAAAACTATTTTTGCAAGGCCCGATCCTATTCACCGATGCATTTTTTAAATCACAAAAATATATCATCACCAATCTAAACTACAAATGTTGTACTCTTGTTAGATTCCAATATGATATACTCTCTCATTCAGGGAGAAACCCAGTTTATGCCCTCCCAAAAGTTTTAACATTACAAATATAAAACTCTTATATGGCCCTTGTTTATAATCCGCCGTAGCCTTCTTTAAGGCATTGGGGTCCTACAAAGCTAGAATCTAACCAATTATTATTCATAATTTTCCATTATAAGTTAACTCTTTTCTTTCACTTTCTTCTTGGTGTGATCATGATGTCCATAGGGGCTCCCATAGTGAACCCACTCCAAAGTCTTCACCAAATCCAACAGCACCATTCTGATAAGACATGGTATCCATGGTGGGTTGGGTGGTTATTTGTTGGGACTGAGCCATCTCCATGCAAATAATGGCCACCAGGTTCGCTTGTTGGCTCTGAAGGTTGACGACTTGAGCCTGAGCGGTGGCTAGTTGCGTTTGCAACTCGCTCACCTGCTTTTGTAGCTGGAATATGGCACCTGCCGAGCCATACACTGGGTCTCGGATCCTAGCGTTTGCCTCGTACACCATGCTGCTCACTGCATCTGCTCTTTGAGCCTCGGGAAGCTCCTGCAAAAGTTAATTGAACCACCCTTTAATTGTAGTTAAGTTGGTAAACTGTAAACCAATGCAAGAGACAGAGAGAGATAACGGAGCATTATAATGGAAGTTCAATTATCTTGAAAATGACAGTAACACATGGGGAACAGTTTGAGAGAGATTTCTTTGAAACGTCATGAAACAGAGAGAGAATGAAAATAAAAAAGACAAGAGTCGGATGAATAAAAGCTATGGAGGTTAACTTTCTTAAGAGAGAAGAGAGAATAGAGAATTTTATGAAACTATCATGAAGGATAAAAAAAGTTTAAGAGAGCGATAATCATATTGGAGAGAGTCTGGTCACGGGATTGTATACAATGAGACCATTTACCTTTAATACAGGGAGGTCACAATTATTTACACATGTGAAATTCGTATAGTTTGGATGCGTCACAAAATTCGAAAAAATTTATTTTGAACTTTGAGCTTGATCAATCAAATAAATGTAATTACTCAATCATCTAATAATAAATATTAATTATCACCTCTTGTACCAAAAATAAATGGTCTCATTATTCAATAACTCTATTAAAGAGCAAAAGAGAGTAGTGGGATTTGCAAAGGATAATAGAAGATTACCTGCAAGAATTTGATGATGTTACTAGCACCAAAGACACGATGTGCGGTGGTGAACTTGAGGGGCTGAGTGGGAGGGAAATATGGAGCCAAAATGCAGCGTTCGGCGCACCTCCGCCTCAGTATCTTGCAAGCAGCACAGGGCGTTGCCACTTGCTGCTGCTGATTGTTGTTATGCGGCGGGGGTGTTTGAGGTGCCGATCCGGAGGACGACGATTCCTCCCCTCTCTGGTGTTTTGGGCTTTCCATGAGAGAGAATCGAAGTGTCTTTTCGAGAGTTGAAGAGAGCAAAAAAGGAGAGAGAGGAATAAGAACAAGTGTTTGTTTTGATTTGAAGTTGGAATGGAAGGCAGAGCGGGGAGCATATATATATATATATATATATATAGAGGAAGAGAGAATTGAAGTAACGTCACATTTCAAAAATGACGTATTGATGCAAACTGATGACGGGGAGCGGCGATTCTTTTGGCTTCTCGAAGGTGGGACCGCAGTTGAGAACGTCAAAAACTCGGCGGATACGCAATTCCGAATAAAAACGAAAAAAAAATATATAGTTTGAAATGAGAGCAAGGAACGTAAAAATCACAGGGAGAAAAATGGGGCAAAAGAGGGAGAAAATAGGCACCGACTAGCGAAATGCGTCTTTCTCACCTAAGTGTGTTTTCTACTGCTTACCCAAAAAATTTATGTTTTCTAGTACTGCCCTGAGTCTCTAAAAAAAAAAAAAAAAAACCAAAAATTTATATAGGGGTGAGGCTCTAAACAAATAAATTAAGGCACATTTCAAAACTTCACTAGAAGAGATAACTTCGATGCTCAAATCGACCATCTCTTATCTCAAGTTCTATAGACATGAGAAAAAATAGATTTCAAGTCTTGAAAATAATGCATCTTGTAATGCATTATCTAGACGGTTAATCTTCAAGATGTTCAACTATTCATGGATCTACTTGAACTACACTACTTTTTAATCTTTAGATTTTTGTAATTAGAGATGAAATTAAATTTTTAGGTCATCACGAAGATTTCCTGTACTTAAACAATATATTTTGATCAAATTTCATGGTACGTCACATTTTGATTGTTTAGGGTCTCAACCTTGTACAAACCACGCCCCTAAATAAAACGACCTTTATTTTTTAGCTTGTGGCACGATGTATGCTACCTAACCATACAATAGCAAAACGATGCAATGGATGCTTTTCAACAGGGGGAGAGAGAAATTGGGGTACATTTATTTCCCGATAACACTCTCTTCTTTTGTCCGATAAGAGAGCTCTTTTACTTAGGTAGTCTAACGATAGGAATCAAACTTGAGATGCAGTGCTGCTAGATGTTAGTTGCTAGTTATGCTTTTTCACAAAAAAAAAAAAAAAAGCAAGTACTTTAACAATGGGAATGCGCTTTCCGCAAGAAAGCTGTTATGCAACAAGAAAAAAAAAACACTTCTACATAGTTCTTTCCCACGACACAAATGGGCCCCTTATTCTACACGCTTAAAATGAAAGGTGTGAAACCTTGATCTAAAGTTCTTTAACAAATATAGAGGGTGGTGTGTAATTGTGGAGACTCTTCTTTATGTATTTATTAATTTATTCTTTTATTTTTTTATTATTCTTGTTGTTGCTCTTTTTATAGATTGTTTTTGCTGCTGTGTATAACAATCCGATATTTGTGTTTCTTACCTTTTTGGGTAGGTTCTTAGGTTGCTAGCTAGGACTCAATACTGTGTATTGTGGACGTGTACATTTGAGGCACTCGTTTGATTGCCTGCACTCTTTAAGATTTCAACATTACTCATGTTCGAAGACCATACTGACCCGCCTCAAAAGAAAGCTTAGCAATTATTTGTGGATAACAATTGATTATATTCTTAACTCATGAGTAATCAATCAGAGATTCAAAACTCGGATTAGTAGGGTGGATCGTCCTCTTGACAAATCATTAGTGGGGTGGGTCGTCTATTCCACAAATTTATGTTCCATCCTTGTTTTGTTGTGTCACTGATCCAGCTGCATAAGTGATCCATAAAATGTTAACAAACAAAGAAAAATAAAATATAGGTTTAAGATAGGGGAAGTTTCGTGGGGGGGGGGGGGGGGGGGAGGGGCTAAAAAAATATTAGATAAACTTTAAAAGAAAAATATTGGGGCAATTATGGAGGGATCGGTATAGTATTGATGCCTTCTCAAACAAGTTTTCCTCTTATTGATTCTTGAGTTAGATAGATCTATTATTACGGATCCAAATCGATGGTTTTAAAACACACCAATATCCCTATACTGACCAATATAAATACTATATTAAACATTTATATGCTTAAGGGGACTTGCGATGTAACTTACTCACTCGAGTGCTAACCCATAGAAAAAAGGTGAACTTATGGATACCTTCAAAATGAATTTTGTAGATATTCTACTGCTAATGCTTTTAGTATCACACTCTAAACCTAGTACCTGTTTTTTTTTGCTTTTACGGCACACCCTTCACTCAAAAAGTAAATCATTTAAAGACTAAACGACCCTTCTCTTTTCTCTTTTTCTTTCTCTCTCTACTCGCCCTCTCTCTCTTTCACCTCCCTCTCTCTTTTTTGGGGGTATATATAGTTTTCTCTACAAAAAATAGAAAAGAATATATGTTAAAAAGAAGGTAAAATTACAAAAAAACTCTCAAAACTATACTATATATGCAACTTACCCCAACCTAATTTTTTCTCTCACTTTTTTCCCAAAATAAACTTTCTATGCAAAAAACCCCAACCAAGAAAAAATAAAAAAATACCTAAACTATCCTCCTTCACGTTTACCTTACCGACACCTCTCTCTCCTCAATCCCACCACCGTGTAAGTGTGGTCCGATGTTCTAGCACTGTATAAAGTTCGGTCTGGCAGTAAGGCTCCGACACTGTGTAAAGTACTACGGTCTGGCAGTAGGGGCTCCGGCATAGTTGTAAAGTGCGGTCAGGCAGTTGCAAAGGACTGTCCGGCACTTGTGCTCTCCGATAATGTGATGGTGCGCTCTGGCAATGTGCTACTGTGGTGCAAAAGTCGACATCAAATATGTCCAAAATGATTTTTGTGTACAGGAAGGGTATTTCCATCTTAAAAAAATGAACTTTTTCTCTTGGGGGTATTTGCATAGAAAGTTTGTTTTGGGAAAAAAAAAAGAGAAAAAAACTTAGATTGGAGATAACTTTCATAAAAAGTGTAGTCTTTAAAGTTTTTTTTTTGTAATTTTTTCAAAAGAAAAATATCACTCTTGAACATTGGCCATCCAAGAACCTAGAGGATGAGCTCAACCAAAGTACAAAGGAAGAAAGTAGTAAAAGAAATAAAACTTTGGAGTAGAATAACTTTTTTTTTTTCCCGAAGTTACCTTTTTACGATTATAAAGAAAGTGGATCCAAAGCTAGCCTTTTCTCTGAGGATGCATGTGTACCATTTGCAGCTGCGAGTGCATGCACCACAAGGGGCATATAATAAAAAAAAATTGCTGTCATTTTCTGTACGTAGGAGAATTATCTTGCGTCACGAGGGTACGCACTGCAAGCGTTTCATGAATTATATTATTTGCAAAATATTTTTAGAGAGATGGGCACATGAGGGTACGACGGGTATTTCGAAAAAGAAAGCCATTGCGAAAATCGTAGGACCACGGTGTTTCTTAATTGCAAATAACATTATTGCATATAGCTTGAACTTTGTACTTGCCTACATTTAATGAAAACTTTTGTCCCTCTCTTTTTTTTTGTTCTTTTTTTTTTTGAACGTTTATTTGTTCCTTTCTTTTCCATGCTTTCCACCTTAATGAACAATATTTATCTTTCTCTCTCTCTCTTAATGAACAGTGAACATCATTTATTGATCTTATACGTTGATTTTTTTTGTTTCTTGTACTCTTTCAGCTATTGTCCACCCTTGCGGTGTAGATGCACTTAACTTTCCATACGGACAATTATTTCTCATAAATTTGTTTTGTCTTGTTTTTATTTTTTCAACATGACTTCCAATGCCCAAAACAAAATAGCGCAAAATCTACTTATGGTGATATTTTAAGATTTATTTTTATGATATTGTCAGGAAACTATTTATCTTTTATATATAGTGGTCATAATGATTCTTGTCTCTTTAATTTCAAGATTGGAGGTTTTAAGAGTGTCATTGAATAGACATAAAGTTTCAAAAAGAATTCTTGAACTTCGTGACTCACTCCAAACAATTCAATTTGAAGTCTAATGAGTGGAAATGACTGTGACATCTATGTATAAAAGATAAATGGACCCTTTGTTAACAATCCTTATTTTTATTGTTAGGATAGAACAACTTTCTCAGTAATAAAAACTACTACTTAGTTCTAATGACGTACATTAGAACTATTGATTAACTTTGCCATTTCTAAAATATTTTCATAATTAATTTTTATTCTGTGTTAATTTGAAATCATGTTTACCGACCTTAATAAATAAGTATTCGTAGTGAATAATATATTTATTTAATGTATTAAAGTCCCAATAATTGTCTAATTAATCTTGATAAAGACGACTGAAACAAATGATATCACTATAACAAATCTCATTAATCTCCTTTCTATGTAGTCAAAATCCATTTTTGTGTGTTTACATAGAGAAACATAGTTACAATGACATTTCCCAAGCAATGAATGAATAATGAATGCCAATAGATATAATTAGAGAGACATCAACATTCTTTAAATAATAAAAAACAAATGCTGGTTGTATTTCTGGAAATCAAATCACTCTTAATGGTTATAGTGTTGACAATTGCGGCACGAGTTCCCAAGTTCAATTCAGACTGTTGTTTTACCCTAAAAGGAGAAAATGATGCGGGCATTTCTCACGTGCAAATGTTAGTATCAGAGTATATTTCCTTCTTTCTATCTGAGGATGTAGCTTAATTTCCAATGTTTTCGGGATTGTCTGAGCATATTTTTTCCTTTCTATTTTAGGATGTCGATAAATTTCAAACTTTTTATGTTTGTTCAGACCTTGATGTTAAGATGCATTCAATTAATTGCTAAAAATCTAATTGAGTGGGGCATCTTTCTCAAAATCAATTTTTTTTCTTGAAAAGCAAAGAGAAAATAAGAAGAGAATATTGGAGTCCTTGTGATTTTTCATTAAGGCCTCCTAATTCTTGAAGCCAAACCCACTATAGATGGTGGATCGACGATGCCTCATTTTCCTAACTCATGGACCAAATAAGATGTGACAATAAAATGTCCCCTTTTCTCCACAAACCTCATGTGCATTTGCTGACCAGCATAGAGGAAATGAAAAGGAGAGCACGAGCACGGGGAGAACTTATCCTAGTCTC